CGTTCGACTATAACTCAGTATTTGTGTTTTAAAGTAATTAGATAAGAATTTAAACTTTAACTTGAAAAGTGTTTAGTGTTTCGTTCTCAAACTACTAATACTTAAAAACTCTTTGTTTTGATATAAGTACGGACTGAATAGAGATTTACTCTTAAGATACAAAAACCTCAAAATATTAATTTGATCAACTCTCAATAACTTATTTAATACTAGATGGTACCCGCGACTTTGTTTGTGTAAAAGTAGAAAAGCGCTGCCTTAGTGGGTTCGATGCACGGGCCAGGTATTTTATAGTGGTTTTCTGAGAGGAAAAATATCCTAAGTTACTCCTTATATAGATAGCTATCTGGCAGTAAAATATTATTAAAATCGGTGCAGCCGTTTAAAAGATTACCCGGAACAGACAGACGGACAGACAAACAAAAATTTTTAAACTGGTTTTTAAGCATAGATACCATGCAAATAACCGTGTAAGCATGAAAAAAAACTAATATTTGGACATTACAAACAGACACTACAATTTTATTTATTTGCATAGATGTATAGATAAGATTAAATCGACTTACCCGCGGTTTCGCGTTAACAAGTGAATTTCAGTTCTAGAAACTGCGTGAAAAAAAATTAGGTAACAGATGTCCTGTTACCTAATTTTTTTGCATTGGTTTTCCTGTGAGTATAGTCTCTGAAAACTAAACTTACCACTGAGTTACACCACAGTAACTATCCACTAGCTAACTCTCCAATGCAAGGATATCCAGTTTTTTTAATAAATTAATCTGAAACTCCTAGTTTCCGCATTGACCATACGTTGCGTTGTGCTGTTGACGAGGTCGTAGGTAAGTGTATAGGATTCTGACGTTTATGATCGTATCCTTAGAGGTTATTTAACGATAATAATACATATAACAATCGGCCATGAATTCTGTAAGGTAAAAGTAAGAGCAGTTTTTTTATGTACTAGAATATAAACCAAATAAGGGCTAATACAAAATTTAGAGTTATTACTAAACTGTGACACATGTAACTATTAAATACTCATATAATATTTATTTTTAAGTAAAACTGCAATTGATTCATCTGTTTATGATTCTCAGCAGAAACAGATAAGGTATCAATCTCTCTTTCATCACTCTTTGTAAACAAACTATAAAATAGTATGTCATCATGTTAAGGGTTATCACGTTCAATATTATAATTTTATCTACATAAATTTCCTATATAATTATACCTAAATAATGATTTTTATTGTAATTGCGTTTGCTGCAATTCAATCTAACTGTACGTAAAAAATACTATTTTACAATACCTTCATACAAGAAATTATAATAGTACACGAGCTAATTAAATTATCTATATATATATAAGAGATTTCCACGTATATAGTCACTCATCACGATATCTCTGGAACCATTAGAGCTAAAGACTACAAATTTGGTAGGAATATTCTTTTCACTGAGTAGAGGTCAGCTAAGAACGGATTTTACGAAATTAAAAAAAAAAATAATAATTAAATAATGTAAATAGCAAAACAACGTTTGCAGGGTAAGCTAGTACACTATAATTTGGTAAAACCAAAAAATTATATCACATCAATACAGACGATTAAATCCGCTAAATCATTGCAATATTTAGATAGTCCGTTGCTCCGACACAACGAAGAGCTATTCAGATAGCACAGGGCTAAATAATATGTGCTTATTACTCGTATGTGCTCTTAGGATTTTTAGGAACTCATGGATTTTAAATTATATACTAATATCAATCTATCTAATGTCGATTCGATAACTACAAAAAGGTTATTTTTCCCACGGTGAATGAATTTTATTAATTTATTGAAACATTAAAATATTCATTAAAATATCTGACTATTTCACTCATTAACGTTTTTCATACAACTGTTTTTAATAATACATAATTTGCAAGCTTATCATAAACAACACTTGCCCATCGTTTGTTGCCAAGTAATGTTTTTTTAGTAAGCATTCCATATGGAATTTGGGTTAGCTATAGTTGCCAAATAAATAGAGCGAATGAGATATTGGCAATCCACTTTTTTTTTATAAATTAGAGGCATTCTTTCATACTGAAGAAAAACAAAACACGTTAATCATTTATCACGATTCCTACAAGTTCTACTGTTTTTTGTACTTGAACTTAATTTGATTGATTTTGAAATCTAAAATCTAGACTTCAAAAGACGAAAACCTTTAAAAGTCAGGATGTGGGTACAAGAAATTCTGTCACATTTGTGACAGAATTTCTTGTACCTCTTCCGAGGAGGCAGTACAAAATGCTTTGACACAGTTTGTCGAATCTAGATCACCAGGGTTCTATCGTAAAGGCATAAGTGAACTTCCGTTTAGATGGCAGCAATATATAGATAATGAGGGTAAATATTTTGATTAAATAAATATGTTACATCTTAGAAAAAAACGTGTTTCAATTTTTCAGCACAACACGTCAATTTTATACTTTAACCCCTAATATGTGTGCCAGTTAAGTTTGTTCTTGTTATGATTTAGTCATTTACTGATAGAAGTGGTACGACCAGACTTGTTATGCATATTTGTATACTTTATATACATCTTTGATAATATTTATATGAAAGGTGGGAATAACCTTGAAAATTACCATAGAGAAACAAATGCAATCTTTTTTGTTATGATATTTTTAGCAAGTAATTTAAAAAAATGTACGCAGGCGCAGATGTTCAGTTGCTGATTATTACATATCAGAAAAATAAGAGCGATTCCGAATTGCAAATCCATCCTAATTTTTGTGTAAAGGCCATGACATCATCGACTTTGTATTTATTACGAATACATTTTAAAATATTAAATTATCTAAATCGCTTTCAAGGCAAAGAGTGTTTATTTAAATGTGATTGATTTTTTCAAACTCTTATGTCCGATGGTTTTCTTTTAGTAGTAGTAGGATCTAAAAATACTGTATGAATTGTTACTTGTTCTGTAAATACCCATTTGAATTCTTAAACAATAGTTTAATTTAAAATTTGGCACTCATTCCATTACAATGTCAGCGACACGCGCGATCCGTAATTGAATCATAGTTATCGTAGATTTACATAGTGTACATAAACATAACTAATTTGTTTTGTTTTAATATACTTACATTTTAAAATGTAGCTTCATTTAATTGAACACAACATTATCATTATAAATTAAAAGGAAGTAAGGTAAGTATAATTTATTTTATAAGTACGCACACATTCGACTGTTTGCCGAAATGTTGGCGGTAAAGCAAATAATTATAATTTTCACAGGCAGTAAAGAAACCTGAACATGAACGGAAAATCGCAAAAAACTATAGCGAATCTGGAACAAAATTTTCTCATGTTCCCAATACCTGATACGTGAACAATATTGACGTCCAGCTTTAAACAGGATTTTTTAAAGCTGGACGTCAATATTTTTCTCGTGATTTCAGGAAAGTAGCCACAAAGAGGAGTACAACCCGAATAATGACTTTATGTTATTTTTAAAATTATTTCGTAAAATTAATAGTACGTGTATTTGTACATTCCGAGATTCAACAATTATTGCGTGAGACTGGCATAAATGTGTGTTTTTAACTAGCGCAGTGTGTTGTGCATTATGAATCAATTGTCATGGATAATGTTACCTATTAGAAAATATGTTATATACCGTTCACAAACTTGAATTAAAAGTTAGAAAAGTGATGTTCGTTTACAACATCATAGAGATGTATGGTTTAAATAAAATGGAAAAAAAAAACACAAATTTAGTTACACTGTTTTGAGTAGTAAACACATTTGTTTAATCAATTCACTTTGTAAACCTTGTAAACGTACTGTGAGATGAAAAATACATTGATAATTTTTACTCATTTATTGTAAGTAATCGGTTGTTCGACCTAAGCACGTGTAGACCATTTTATGAGCAAAACCTTGTGTAATGCCTTGTTAACTCTTAAAATAATAATGATTGTTAACTTATGAATTATCCTCTAATCATCCTTAATAAAATACAAACTGGCCACGACTTTCACTCAAAGACGAAAAAAAAGAACGTAGCGTGGCTACCAATCTTGTGCAATAAGTTATTATATTGCATAATATTTCGCCATAATTGTGTTGGAACTAAACTTAGTCTTGTAGTTGTTGTGTTATCCTGTTAGGTATTTTGTTGTTGTAACAAAGTTTCTTGTAAAAATGATAGACCAATTAGTACACACGTAATTTTCATACCTTCTTTTTTTTAATTGTATCACTATTAAACTTTAGTATTTCTTGTTTTACTTTATTTCTATTCTTAAATTCAGATGACCAGAAGGTTTTTGATGCAAATGTCTATATCTTTAAATTTGGAAAGAAGTAAAAAAGGTTTACAAATACTTATTTTGCATATTAAGTTAAAAGTAATCATTTTACTTTTAACCACTTGGAAACGCATTACTTAACCAGTCCTTCTCATCATTGATACCGTCGTAGAAAGGAAGTAGTTATAGGAAGTGAGTACTAGTAATCCGATTGAGCAAATACATATTACGTAAGAATGCTGAACTTACTGTAGGTTTGTAAGTCAACGGCACGGTGCCCTGGCTAAATTTATCAAAGCTCATATATATCAATTAGGCAGGTCGTATAGCTAAATAATAAAACCAACGCCAACGATCAACGCTATCATTGTTGTTGGCATTTATTTCCGAGCAATTTGGTTACCGACCTTGAAAACACTATTACAAAAATAAAAGAGTAGGCACATCCGATTTCATTACATCTATATTTTCCTATCATTAACGATTTTATGTTTGTCATCGTCCTCTACTTATAGAATTTTAACGCGACATTCTGACATGTTATTACGGTGAGACACGGGATTGTAATTACGTTTACGAGTATTACTTTGTAATGCTTTTAAAATAATAAAACTTTGACTTTATTGCTTGACATCATTCACGTCACATTTTATTAAATTTACGCACAAACGTCTTTGTACATATGAAGTGTTTGTCCTCAGTGATGGAGCCCACGAGGCCATGCTTGCAGAGGGTCAAGCGCCCCAGATCGTGACACAGAACAAAGAGTCAAGGAAACAAGATGAGTATGAGGCTCTACAGAGTTTCCTCCGTAGTATCAGCTCCACAGCCACGCTCCCACCTTACGTCAAAGGCGAGACTTACTCGTCTACTAAAGGTGTATTTAATCAGGTATGTATCTAGTAATGCTACTTTGTTATAGACACACACAGTCTCAGACAAATTAAGTTAAAAGCAAGCTGTTCATTCGTACTTCAAATAAGTAATGTTCATGTTTAAGTTTCATTTTTAAATAATACTGTATTTAGTACATTGTACCTTGATTTTGATTTCGCCAAGCAAGTGTTTGCCGGCACAGAATAGGCAAGTACACTTCATATGAGTGGCCGGTAGTTTTCAATGTTAAATCATTTTATGAAAATTAGAATTTACTGATTGTATGTTGAAATAGTAGTGTATCCTTATACGTTTATTATAAAAACAATACAGTGAACATACAGGGAATACCTAACGTGTAGGTACCATAACTTCTGTAGTTTTTCCGCAATTAAAATATATACGAGTATATCCATATCATCGTGACAAGATGCAAGATTAAACTACTGCTATTTAGTTGGCTAGTTAGATTTTAGGTACTTATCAAAGTTATCGACAGTATAGTTCAGCCTGCAATAGTCAGTTATAAATTTCGTTGATATCCATACTGCTATACTTTAATTATAAATGTGAATGTGAGTTTGTTTGTTACGCTTTCACGCCTAAACCACAAAACCGATTCAAAAAATTCTTAAGTAATGGAAAACTAAATTCTCAAGGAGTAACATAGGCTATACTTTTTACCGAGATAACTGGCATACACGCGGGAAGAGCCGCGAGCAAAAGCGAATAGCAAATAAAGTTTAAGGATAATCTTGGTGCAAATATTTGTTAACTTTGGTTTTTACCGTGTGTAACTTTAGCAACAGATTTTATAGCAAGTCATTCTATAGTAGCGTGATATTTTTACGTTTTTTGTTTTGGATAAAAACCTTTCGATTCCATAGTTTTTATGTCATTTATTGTAGATACATGTGAATACACTTATATTAATGAAAAGGTAAAGGTTAGAATTGTCCGGATTTTCTACTGTCTATTAATAACTGATCCGAGGTTCCTGTACGCAACATTCAATTGACTTGCTTGTGGTGGTTTACGGGTGGTGTGGGAAAGCGTTAGGTATAAGCAATATCCATTTTTCTAGCATTTTATACCCTTTTCATGTACAGTGCAACCTCGATATAACAAATCAGAAGGGAACAAGAAAATATTAGTTATATCAAGTAATTCGTCAAACTGAGGTTTGTTAAAATAAACTGATTATTATTATTATATTGAGGTTAGGTTGGTCTAAAATTTGTTACTTTCCATCAAACAATACTGATAAGATTGTTTTACGAAAAAAAAACCGGTCAGGTACGAGTCGAACTCGTGCGGTGCCTGGGTGGGTACACCCAGATTTTACGTAGATTTTCACGAAAATGGTATGTACCAAAATTCATCTTAATTTTCAACTTATTTTATTTTTACAAGTTTTCGCGAAAATCAAAATTTGCCCATATCTTTTTATCGTGTTGACTCGGGACCTTGACTTTTATACACCTAATAGGGTCCATAGATCTTAGTATCTGGTATAAATTTCAACTTGCTAGGTCGACCCGTTCCTGAGAAAATCGGTGGTGACACACGGACAGACGGACTAGAAAGTGATCTTAAAAGAGTTCCTTTTTTACCTTTTGAGGTACGGAACCCTAAAAAACGTGTCGAAACCTGTCGCGACTGAATCACATACTATGGGATTGAGGGTCATATTGGTAGGGACGTTATATAAAGGTTTTGGGTTGACAAAATTCGTTAATAGAGGTATTTTCGTAATGTAAAGGTATATTTCACATTGACTCTTATGGACAATTCAAGGGGATTACGATGAATTTGGTAAATCGAGGAAGTCGTTATATTGAGGTACGTTATATTAAGGTTGCAAGGTATCTATGTTCCCGACTGACGACAATAGATTTGTACCCATTATATAAGTTGGACCTATATATAAACTTGGCATATTTTTAACAGTGTACACATCTCCATTTATTTCCATAGTTTCTAGGATGTTGATAATTCTTCACTGGTTCGCAGCATAGAGCAATTCCGGTCCGCCGGTGGCCATTTTTGTTTTTGTTGACGGTGTGGAAAATCCCTTCGGATCTCCTGCTCCTCGGGGACTCAGGAGCCAGGAGTATGTGGTGATTCCACTAAAAACCACCCAGAGGGGCGCCACTCTGGGGAGACCCGGACCATATTATTCAAGGTCCTCCCCGAATTGACACCATGCCTAATCAATTCCTATCCTAGGGGAAAAAGCACTTCCCCTCAATCGCGACGTGGCGGCCCAATTACGTCTTAATGCAATCAGGCCATACTATCACCTACCGCAGCAATTAATCTGCCACCAGAGATCCCCACTCTCTGGTAGCCTGCGACCCCGTCGACAGCTGTTTTTTTTTTTGAGCAATTATCCAAAAACTATATCACTTTAAAGTCTTGAGGATCATGTACCATTTGCTGCATTGGCATTCTAGGAAAAAAAATCGTAGGTATCCTTGTTCTATCTGTTACTAACGTTGTTTCACGGTCATGACGATGTCGGTGTTAAGTCAAGCCATCACTTACACATTCGCTACAGTATTTGACATTCAATTACATAGATTCACCAACTGTGACCACCGTCGCGTGTGCATAACAATAAACTCATCACAAGAACACTATATTTTTCTTAGTATATCAAAAAATTAGAATCTGTCCAAACATCGATTTAACAAGCAAGCCGTAGCGCTCATCGGTTACACAATGGATCAAAGCAGTTGGCCATAAGGTCAATTTTCGTAATAAAAATTCGTTCAAAATTCAGTTCCGAGGCCCAAGTGTGAGTGAGAGAGAGTGAGCGAGTCGATGTGAAATACACTTGCACTGGGCCTACAAATCTACTCTCGATCTCACACATGTTATAAAAGGAATGTTCATAGCAAATTATTAAACATCCAACGTTGATTGCAATGTGATTATATAGTATTACTAGCTGAGACCCGCGTTGTTACCCGCGTTTGTTGTTATAACCGCGGGCAACGCCGCGGGGCGAAGCTAGTCTTAAAAAAGTAGCCTAAGTTACTCCTTATGTCATCAGCTATCTGCCAGTGAAAGTCCCGTCGAAATCGGTCCAGCCGTTCCAGAGATTACCCAGAACAAACAGACAGACAAAAATTGTAAAAAATGTTATTTTGGCATATGTACCGTGTAAACATACATTTGCATTTAGTAAAAAGCGGTTCTTTTAATATTACAAACAGACACTCCAATTTTATTTATTTGTATAGATGACCGATATTTTATCGATATCCTGCTAGTCTTAGTAATACTTTACTACGAGAATACGTCGAATACGAGAATTGAACTTCTGGTTGCGTCGTTGCGTGTTGGTCACACTCTTATTAGAAAAAAGGCTGAATCTTCTAGTTGTAATTGGAGTTACCAGAAACATTGGCTTGAACATTGGTTAACTCTATAAACCTATTTAAAACGTTTCAGGTTATATATTTTTAAATTAATCTCGAAAATTATGCCTATTACCTGCTATGAAAAGAAATAACTTTGCATTATTATATTCGAAACAAATAACATCAAGTTATCCGTAGTTGAATTGAGTAACTTCCTTAAGCGTTTTTCTCAAAATTATTAATTAAATAAATACCTTACTGTCTGAAATGATAAATTATGCACTAAGGTTAAGAAGTAAAAAAGATATAACGGCCTATTATCATAATAAATTAACTAACAGTTATACAACATCATAAAATATATGTTTTTGTGAATCTAAATAATCTATTTTTAAGTCATCTGTCACCTGTGCTTTATTCTCACCATTTCAGATTCTATAGATATTCTAAACAAAACACATTAAATCAATAATAGGTCTTTATTTACTTAAATCGGATGACACTAAATGCCGAATACATTAAATATTATTATTCACGTGCCATTAAAATATTTCATTTACATATTTGCGTAGCTACATCTCTTCAAATTGATATAGTTTGGTAAACGTTTACATTTATCCACATTGTACTTGAGATCTAATTTTAATTTTGGATTACACTATCAGAAAAAAAAGTACTAAAAAAGACTCCAAGGAAAGAAAGAGAAGTCCGAACTTTTTCTCATATAATTAACAAAATATTTTGAAAAACTTTTAGAGAAAGAAAATCCTTTAGGAAGAGGAAGTAATTTTTTTTCTGTGGTAGAATGCATAACGCATCGACAGATATCTAAGGCTCGTCCATTAATCTCTAGTCTAGTCTTGACTAATTTTATATCGTAAATAAGTATACGCGAAAACATGTTTTGTTGACACTGAACCAAAATAGAAATGGACTATAATAATACGAGTACAAGTCAGTGTCACAGCTATCGCTGTATCACCGAATGTAAAAATGTAGGTAAATGTGCAGATTACTACATTTTTTGATACGAAAAACAAAGTTATTTATTTATATCGGAACCTCCAGTTTAAAAGATTATTCTTTCTGTTTTGTTAAATAACCTTGCAGTGCTAATAACCTTCCTTAATAAGCGGTCTATTGAACAATAAAAGATTTCTTCAACCGGACTAATTAAACTAACAAATATTGAACCAACGAACGAACAAAATATTGAAAAAGTGTAAGTTTAAATTAGCGGGAAAAGATTTATCATAAAACAGTTAGTTTAATCTGTATCCGACTTTCATAGTTTATATGTGGGTGTTAACAAAATCCTGCCTACGAAACCATATCCACAACTAGAACGAATACCACAACGAATACCTAAACGAGCGATAAATACAAAAGCACCTGATAATATTTTATTATTATTATAATATTTTATTATTAAATTATCGGATTAAAAAATTTGACATTGCAATTATATATTTGACATTATGTAAATTGTTTATTGACATGAGCTTAGTAGTTTGTTATTAAACCAATCTTTTGTTGTAATATGCATGTACGTTTCAAATTTTGCATGTCAGAACAGACTGACGAAATATGTGTAATTTATATGTATATTCTATTCTATAATATGTGTAATTTATGTATATATATTCTCTTCTAATAACTATAAACAGCCCATGTACCATATTTCTGCAATTAAATTATCATTTCATTTCATTTCTAGTATAGATTCATCTAATGGGGGAATATCCCATACCGTAGTCGCCAATTCCGACAAGACCTTTCCAACAGTAGGTCCACTTACTATAATAAAAAAATATTCCATCATTACTTCCTTAGCAATTAGGTTAACTCAACGTCGATAAACACGTTTTCATGGCACTTAAATTAATTGTTTCTTATAAAGTAGCTCTAGTTACCTAGCTCTAGGTAGTCTAGGTAGCTATTCTCATTATATATGGCTTTATATATAGGTAGTTAGTAGTTACTCGTATAATCTATCCATTCAATTATTTTCTTTTGACAATTTATTAATCATTTTGTGCAAAACTGCTATCGATTTAGTTCGCAGTTAATTAGTTATTCAACTAAAAAACAGTAATAGTTAATAGAAATGACATTTATGAAAATGTAGTTTACATCCCTATTACGCATCCTGTTTGCAACGCAACGCAACGCAAAACAATTTGCATGCACAAAAATCTCGCTTCGCTGAGCCGATTCCACTAGAGCTGCGCTGAGCGAGTCCAGGTAAATGAAGTGATTCTATTGGTTCTTAACATCTACTCATTTAAACTTAAACTATTTATTTTTTTACATACATATTCTGTATTGCTTCCATGACATTTTATTGTCTAAGTAAATTCCTAAAAATTTCGTGCTCTGTGCCTCTTCTATTACTTGCTCTTTATATTTGTTTTTTTTTCTTTTTGGGGATTGCTTATGCCTTAAATGTATTGATTTTGTTTTATCGAGATTGATTATTAAATTATTACTCATTAGTCAGTTAATTATATTCTCTAATATCTGATTAATATTATCAAGAATGTCATTTATTTTGTATTTGTCAAAAAGTATAGCGAAAAGAGTCATAGAGTTAGTCGTAACTGTTGGAATGTCATTGATGGAAACTATAAATAATAATGGCCCCAAAACACTGCCTTGAGGTACACCCAGTACCGGATTTAAACTTAATGCCGCTCCTGGGCACCAGAAAAAAATCCGCCCCATTACTGGAATTTTACTTAAACTTATAGTTTATATATTTTATTTTTCAAAATTAAAAGAACTAATTAATTGCAGAAACTTTATTATATGTTATATGTTCCAAAAACATAAATAAATATTTGTTATTTTCCAACAATTATAAATTTGGCACTAATTATGAGTCACCCGACTCATAATTATATTACATCAATATTTTCACAGGCAAACACGTCTGACTTTTTGAATTGCGAACTGGTCGATTAAATCTTCGCAATCTAAACGTTGAAGTACGTCGGATTCGATGCATAGAACAGCTAAGCTATAGAGTCTATTAGCAGTCATTGTAGAACTTCAGAAGTTTTTAACTCTCTTCAAACATGAAAACGATCGTTCTGCGCTACAGTTTGTTACAGCTAATGTCATAAATATTCGATAGGCGATTTCCAGAAACTCAGTGTACAGGTCGTTTGCATCAGTAACTTCAAAAGATCGGAAAGCGAATTCTGTTCCATGTTATTTAAATTGTCTTTGTCACCCTTTTTATGTAGCGGTTTAAAAATTGATAACTTAAGATATGTTGGAAATTTATAACTATGGGCATCCTCGCATATCTCTCGGTAAAAAAACCCCTTTGTGTCCCTCCCCCTAGAGTCAGGGAGTTTGGGCTGACAACGCACTTGTGACTTGAGATGCAGGCGTCCATGAGCGGCGGTAGTTACTTACCATCAGATCAGGTAACCCGTCTGCTTGTTTGCACCCCCATAAAAAAAGTCCGTTCACTAACCAAATGTGCATAAATTATAAATAAATTGTATAACTTAATAATTTTGAAACGTTGTTGAAGGGAATTGACGTATTAAATACGAGTAGGCATTTCATAACTTAAATTATCCAACGCTCGGACCAAGTTGCATTGGCTATAGCCACAGGCAGAGTAAATGGTGCACGCCCTCTGTCGTCGTATTTTTGAAGTAGAAAGTGTTATATCCATCTAGGTATATCGTTTAAAAGTACAATATATTGACGTTATATATAAGAATATATAACGCAATATATAACGTTGTGTATATTTAATGATGCAATTGTCTTATCTGTTGATTAAAAAAGAGTGGCCTTGAGTTTGTTTGCCCTTTCTTCTCATGAGAATCAACCCCTTGCAAATGGGCGGTTGTAGATCGTACAGGCATATTAGAGATTTTCGATAGGTATATATTTAGTTTGCTAAATATTTGACAAAACGGAGATTGTTGCTATTGGGTGTGTTGTGATTTATGACTTGAGTCAAGAGAGATTTAATTTTTTTTTTTTTTTTTATGAAATAAAAATATTTTAAGTTTGAGTTATCTAGAATTGTAACCTCTGTTGGTACACAGTAACACAAGTTCAACGCGCCATGCTATATATATATATGTGTATATACATATATGTGTAAATGTATGTTCATATATGATAATGTAATCATCATGTCAATGTGATAAAGGTGTCCATTCACTTAAATACTTCAATAAATGGATTCCAATAATGGTATTTCCTTATCGCTATTTCCTGAAACTGTATTTATCCATTCTACTCGTATTTTGTGCTCTTGATTAGGTCAACGTTGCTGTAATCTGCTAATGACCTTTAGGTATGCATGACTGGCAAAATGCCACATTTATTTCAATTCGCGAAGGCCACTTAGTACATGTACTACATCTGTAAAGATTAAAAAAACAATTTTCCTTTGTACAAGGTAATCATTATACTTAAAGGTATAAACCATTACTCGTTTTTTTCTTTAACATAAATCTTATTAATGTTAACAATAAAACTGTTAAAAGTATAACACTTGTGACATGATAATCCATACTTATAAATGGGAAAATGAGTTTGTTTGTTATTCCAAGTAGCCAATGTTGCTCCCTGATAATGTATCTTTCCATTGGTAAACTAATTTTTGAAATCAGTTTCGTGGTATAGCCGTGAAAGCGTAACAAAACACAAACAAACTAATTTTCACATTCACAAAATAAGTATGGAAGTATGGATTCACATAAAAAACTTTTTCTGCAATAACTTCCATGGACGAGCGTCAATTACTTTGCAATATTCACATTTTTTGTTTCTAACTAATTATACATTCAACTTGTATGTTCTATTTGTATGCTAATAAGGTAATCAGTCAATTTAAAATAGTAACGGTTAAGATTTTTAGTGAAGCACAAAAGACAAGGAACATTGCCCAATTATACAGCTATCAGTTCCAGAGTTCAAACACATTTAGAAATATTGTCTAAATAAGAAGATGTATGTTTAAGTACGTCACAATTTATTTCCAATGACGGCCTTAATCCATAAACAGCCGTTCACGAAAGCATTACTGACGTCAGTACATGGATGAATATCCGCTTCTGTGGCTGTTAAACTCTAATAAATCTCAGGAACTACTGGTCCGATTTGAAAAATTCTTTCAGTGTTAGATAGCCCATTTATCGAGGAAGGCTATAGGCTTTATATCATCACGCTAAGACTAATAGGAGCGGAGCACCAATGAAGAATGTTTCAAAAACGGAGAAAATTTATTACTATTGAGAGACGCAGACGAAGTTGCGCGGGTCAGCTAGTTTGTGATAAATGTACTAGAGCATACAACATCTGTACGAATTTAAGCCACCAATTTGAGTATTAACCTACGTATTAGTCTACATTCTTAAAATTTCTCTACAAAATAAAGGTTAATGCTAAACCCAAATTTACATCTAAAACTAAATGTCTGACATTCTACTTAGACCATGACATGATATTTGTAAGTCATGGTCATGTTTGACTTCTATGTAAAAGGATACATTTTATTAGTTCACTAGTTTACAAGGTTTTGGTTTATTAAATAAAATAAAAACATTTTGATTAAAAAATAATCTTCTGGGCATCCTGACCTCTGGAAAAATGTCCAGTAGATCAAACTAAAGAGATAAATATGAAGAAAGAAACACAAAACACGTATAAAAGTAAGAAGAAAACATTTGGAATTATTTTTGGAAAGCTTATTATTTTTTTATGAGTATGTTCAGCTTCCTCTTTCAGAACACTTACAGTAGCCTTTTAGAATGTCCTGATCCTTTAGATCTTGATAATTCCTTTCAAATATTTTAAGATCTTGATGAAACTTTTCACCTAATTCGTGTCAATATTCAACAATTTGAGCTACTTACATCTGACAATGTCAAATGTAAGTAGCCGCTGTGCTTACATTTGACAATTTAATCAATAAAGTTTTATTTAATGAACAAATAAAAGTGTGAATGGTCAAGAAAAGTAGATTTTATAAAAATAAATTACCAGCTTTAGTGATTTTTAAATTGTTTTCCTTTTGCAGTTAAAGGCTCAGATAAAATATCTTCGTTCAATGTCTTATTTAGATATCGCATTCTTATTAACGCCAGTTTATTGTGCAATACAGTTAATATTGTGTTTTTGAATGACCTTTGTTGATTCATAACTGCCAATTTCCTCCTTGTGTGTAGCTTAAGGTCTTACATACGTAATGAATAAAAGATTCGCGAAAAGAAAAACATATAGTAGGGGCAACAATAGAAATAAATAAAAAGAAATAATATACGTTATTTATTCTTTATTAAACTTTATAAAAATAACTAAAATATCACGTAACCACTCAGAAATCACGAAGTTGCTCCATAGTCGGCAACCTTAAAAAAATCTTGTAAAATATAGTTGTAGCTATAGTATATCCTGCAGGAATTTTGAATTTCCAAAATTAGCAATTTATGGCAGATTAAAAAAAATACAGTTCGTTTTACGGTTTATCATAACTATACACTTTAATAATTAAAAAAAAAACGAAATCCGGTTTAACATACGATAAAGAAAACATCGAAGTATGACATTAAACTTCTATTAAATATCTTTTCTAATAAATTATTTCATTTCAGTGCCTGATCACATGTGCGGTATTAGTGCTAGCAGCGGGCGGCGGACATCCCATCGGCTTCTCTGCCGTCGCCTTGCCCCAGCTCAGGATCGAGAACAGTACCATGAGGATAGATGAAGAAATGGGTTCGTGGATAGGTGAGTTCATCTTCATATTTTACGCATACAAAAATAAAGTAATGAGATGTACTACAGGAGAATAATATCAAAAGAACATTTCAAATAAACTGTGAGGAAGAACACAATCAAACTAAATTTTTCAGATTCACTATCAGATATACTGTCTTTTTTTTTGCAACTCAGGAGTCACGGTCCTTTTAGGAAGGAGTACGCTCTTTTCTTGAACGTCGTATCGGTCCTTAAATACCGCAGACGATAACCCGTTCCATAGATTGGTTGTGCGGGGCAAAAAGTGTCTCGAAAAGCGCAGAGTAGTGGATCGCCAACTATCCAGGTGATGGGGATGAAAATTTGCCGTGCAGAACGATGTGGGGAAGTTGCGGCCAGTATTAGTCCGAACAATTCCTCGGAGCACTCTTCGTGATATATGCGATAGAGAACGCAGAGTGAAGTCACGTCTATACGTAATGCCAAGGGATGGAGCCGATCGGAGATATTTGGGCTATCGACGATTCGAGTTGCTCTTCGTTGGACGCTGTTGGGAGAAGCTGGTACTGAGGTGCCCCTGCATAGAGATAAGAATAATATTCCATATGCGGCCGGACTTGCACTTTGTAGAGCTGAAGGCGGTAAGCCAGAGTGAAATACTGCCTAGATCTGTTTAGCACACCGAGCTTCTTCCAGGTCAATTTGACCTTACCGTCTAAGTGACCCCGAAAATGGACTTCGCTCGATATGTCGATGCCTTGGATTCCGATACTGGCTGAGGCAGTTAGGGAGGTGCTCTTAACTCCCCCGTGGGATTTGGAGGCGGAAGTGCTCGCCTAAGTATATCGGCAGACGGCTGAGTGCCGGGCGGATAGTGGCAGTAGGCCCCCGCACGTGAAAATACGCGAGTGGCGTGAGGCCGCTCGTCGAGCCACGATGGCTCGTTGGTCGTCCCGGCTGGGGGCTCCACGTGCTAGCTTTGCCACCGTGGAGGCGCTTCAGCCGGTCATCGTCAAGTGGACAGGGCGGCAGCACGGGGCTCTTTCCTTCCGGCTGACGCAGGTCCTTTCTGCTTTGGGAAGTACCTGTACTCGGTCGCTAGGAGGGAATTGAGTCCCGCCTGTCACCACCGCGATTGCAGTGAGGACTCGACTTAGCACACGCTGGCCATTTGCCCGGCTTGGGCGCCGCAGCGCCGGGTCCTCATTGCAGTCAAAGGGGGGATCTCTCACTACCGGCCGTCATACGCTCCATGGCCGGTAGTGGCAGATGTTTCACCGCGGTCGCATCCTTCTGCGAAGACGTCATCTCGCAGAAGAAGGCGGCGGAGAGGGCTCGGGAGGACAACATCCGCTCGGACCCAATCCGTCGCCGTCGAACCGGGCGGCGGAGGCGCGCCCACCACCGCCTCATGCCGCCCTGAGTGTGGCCGAGGGTGGACGGGACGAGTTTTCCGGGAAGGCGATGTCCGCGTGTGCCGGACGTCGCCTAAAGGGAGAATATACCCGAAGATGGTGTCCGTGGCGTTGCGGGCAGTCGCTAGGAGGGGTCCGGATGTCTTAATAACAGCAGTTCCCGGATCCTTCATATTATAGGCGCAGAGTGGCACACCGTGTGGTTTTAGTCGGTCCGATTCCAACACACCACCCTGCCGCAAACCCCGGTAGGGTGACGTCACGTCCATACGTACAAAAAAAAAGTTAGGGAGGTGCTCTCAAACCGAGGTGATACTACAAATGGTATATTCTTGGCGGTGAACACATAGACCTGTCTTTTGGGTTGTCCTCCGCTAAGGAAGTTTTAATATCGGCGGGACGCCGTTCTAATCAGGAGAATAAAATACAGGAGGTAAACTAACCCCCTGATAATAACCCTGAATAAATTAGTTAGATTGTGTTCTTACTCTTATTTTAGTTTAGTATTTTACGAACATTAAAGTCGTATCGACCTCCTGGTTATATGGATACGACTTTTATGTGAAATAGTTTCCAATGATTTTTTTATATCAGTGAGATATAATAGGGTTTCTTCTGTGAGGGGCAAAGAATACCCATATTAATTGTATTTGGTTTTACTATTGCTTTAAAGTTCGCCTTTGCCATGACGTCACTGCAAATCAAATCTCGCCATACACAACTTACATTTATCAAATGTAAACATACTCGTAGAACAGACATATCGCTCGGACCTGTGGTTCTTGACACGTACACAAAAAACTGACAGAAGTTTATATTTTATGTGTACACACTGATACAGTTTCAGTTCAGACACATTACGTTTGGAGTTATAACTTTTACACTTCATCATCAGCCTATCCACTGCCTTATAGCCACTGTTGGACATAGACCTCGTTTACCCCAGCGGTTGTCGGTTCCGTTGCTAATATGGATAGCCCACTGCCAATTCTAACGATCTCTAGTCTTTAAATTAGGTTTTCTGGTTAAAGTCCAAAACAAAAAGAGTTTGTTGTTACGCTAACCAGAATTAGTTACAAAAGTCACAATTCGTTACTCTGGGACGAGGCTGAAACTACAAGGTTGCCTGAAGACTGTCTCAAAAAACGGGCCTTCTCACTGTTTTTATAGCACTTAAGACTTGACAAAAAGTTTGCAACTGTGAGAAAACCGTAACCGAATGCCTTTAGATCGGTTATTAATTTTAGTTTTACCTACTTAATTGAAGACAAATTGAATAAGCTTGAGAGGCTCCAAAATCTCTGCATAAGATTTATATTTGGACTTCGCAAATATGATCATGTTTCTGAATTTCGCAAACAGCTTAAGTGGTTATCCATTCGCCTTCGCCGGAATGCACATATTCTTTCTCTTCTCTATAGTATTTTATTTAATTCTTCTACTCCACAGTACCTCGAATCACGGTTTACGTTCTTGAATGACACACACTCCAAACTGTTGAGATCGTCAGAGAAACTAAAACTAAAAATGCCGGAACATTCCACAAAATTCCTTTACGTCTCCTTCTCTGTCCAAGCAGTTCGGTTGTGGAATACCCTACCGGTCGCAATCAGACGGGCACAATCACTTACCTCCTTTAAGAAACAAGTGAAAGAGTACTACCTGGAAGACGGCAACGTCAATTAACTTCTTCTAAGTCGACAAGGTCACACTATACCTTGCACCTACCGACTAATACTTTTTCCAAAATTTAGACAACTTTTTAGTGGGTAAAAAATTCAATTCCCGAGAGGCAGTACAAAATGCCTTTGAAGAGTTTGTTGCCTCCCGTCCAGCTGATTTTTACAAGAAGGGCATCAATAAACTGCCAATGCGTTGGCAATCATGCGTCGATTGCATGGGTGATTACTTCGAATAACAGTAATAAAAAAGTTTGAAAAAATAAGTACTTTCACTTATTGCCTGACCTAAAATTAAACATTAAATATAAGATAAACTTGCAGATATCCTCTAACTATAGCTATCTGTTGTTATCTGTAGAGAGCGAGTTGATGTGATATAAACTTGCATAAGGCCCTCAGAGGGCTAGTGTAAGTTTAGGTATTTGCGTTGTGGTTGGTGCAGTTTAATTTGAGCCAATCACAACGCAGACAACCCCGAACGCGTAAAAGTGACGATCGAGTAAAAGTGAAATAAACTCACACTTAGGCCTCAATACAATGGAGTGACGAGTAATTGTCTCAGGTGATCAATGTTGGATTTCTTGTGAGAACAATAACCTGTTCGATTTACAACATGAGTAATGAAAAATAAATAAAAAGCGAAGAATGCCGGCTTCATTTTATGATAATTATGTCATCTTGAAAACATCATTCATTAACAGTCTTTAAGCAGCAGTGGATTAGACTGCTAGACATAGGCCTCTCCTTAGAAGGAGGTTTTGACCTACTATACCACGCTCACCAGACGGATTGGTATAGGGTTTGTTTCAAGTTTTAATTCTCTCTGCAGTGCTGCTGTACTGCGTAGTTTACTCCCTTAGTCGCCTCTTACAACACCCACGGGATAAATAGGGGTGGTGACACTCTATTCTTAACAACGAATAAATGAAGAAAAAGTATTGATCTTTTGAATTTTCCCTTAGTTAGGTAGGTATATCATAGTTTAATGCAGTCGAAACCGGATATAACGATATTAAAGGGACCATATTACTTCGGACGTTATGTCCGAAAGTTGTTATACGCAATATATACTTATTACACAAGAACTCCTATTAGATTGTTATATGGTAAAAGTTTAGTTTTTTAAATATGTGTGCGGTATGGGTTTAGGTTTATTTATTTATTCACGGTTTCAACGGTTTTAGCAATTACAATAATTAAAGACAAATATACATCAACACAAAAAAAAGACAATGAAAACAAAGATAACATATAAATAATAAATAAAAATCATCGCTCCTGCTCACAGAATCGCAAGCATACTAACATTATATTCGGCCATCCATCTGCAAACAAGTCACAGTCGGATTGGCACGCAGGAGAGCGTCGAGTGCAGAAAGAGTGCGCGGTATGGGTGACTTAGCGCACGCCACGGTGCGACATGATGTTACATGATGACGACATGATGTTTGGACAAAAAATCGACACAACTCATCATGTAGGTATGGTGCATCAACTTTCCCTCTAAAAATCTTACACATAATTGCAAGTTGGTGCATCTACCGTCTGGCTTCCAATGAATTATAGCATAGACAACTGAGAAGAAAATTTGTGGGAAACATACATGGATGGTATCCGTAGACACACTTGTAGAGATATGTAAGGAAAGTTTTTTGTACTTTTTCAAGCAGAAGAGCGTATGTGTCCTCGTGTGGATTCCACACACACTTTCGAGCTTGCAGTGAACCAATGCCCCATAAATTACTCTTATAACATGATGTTTACTAAGCTCTCAAGAATTTCTTAGGATGAAAACCAAGCGTCCAAAAGACTCCTTTGCTAGTGTAATTATGTGGTCGTGAAACGTTAGTTTACTGTCAATGTGACACCCATGTCCTTTATGGAGGTTGAACGGGTGACGTTGTGGCCATTTAATTTATAGTTGTACTCTATT